AAACTGATGTGAAGTAATTTTTCATCGTTTTTTGAGTCAGAAATTAGTGTACATTAATTTAAAGTTATTTAAAAGTTCCAATGGGTAGTTGCTGATCAAACAAAGTTTTCAGAGGACTCTAATTCTAGCTTTCATTAAAATTAATTGTCAAGATGACTTGGATACGCATGCCTGGGAAAAGTTTATTATTTACAATCAACTATTTTTACGGAAAGCGCAAAAAGGTAGAAGCCAAACTAAACCGAAAAACAAACAGAAAAACCTACAAGAAAAAAGAAAATAGTTTTTAGACATTGAATGAATCGTTTGTTGAGAAGAAGTATAAGACAGTATTCATTCGAGCCAACCTATTTTGTTTCGCGACGAAATTTCGAAACATTATTGAAATGATTTGACCTGGAATGAAAAAACATTTGATGTTGAGGAATATATGCGTTTTTTCGCTGAACTATTGAAGTAAAAGAGATCAGAGCAGCGAAGAATTAATTACAAAGAGCGTACCCATTAGAGTTGTTCCAATTTGAGCACGAATAAACAGGAAAATCAGATAGCCATCTCGACGACAGTATTCGGATTCAAATTGTTCTAGAAAAGCATGCATAGTTCACAATCAGTTGCTAAAATTGCAGTTTAATTTACCAGCATAAAGAGCAATATCTTCTCGCTTTATATTATTCATTAAAAGGTGTTTTCGAATGGTGTATAGCCGTTTTAGCGCCGTTGACGATATCAGGATACTACAAATTCCATAAATCGTACACATTCCAATGAAAACTAGCCAGTCCCAAATATCAAACAGATGACTCCCAAATACGTGTTTAAATGGGATACGCATTCAGCATGTATAGCGAATACTGGTTCCGTATCTCCGACGCTAATACCTGCAAAAATAAAGAATTGAAGATTTAGAAAAATAAAACTTCGAATATAGTTTCTCGTTATCTGTGAAGCAGAACTACTAAGATGTTGTTAAGGAGTGAGACCGATCCGTTCTGTTTCAACGAGACAATAAATCTTTGTAGGAAAATTTTTCGCGAGCCAATCAAGACTGTATAACCGAATGCCGAATAAGATATGTAATAGTCCTAATTGGCTGACGATATTGATCAAATACAATAATTTGATAAACAAATAACTAAAACGAGAAACATATTAATCATGTTTATAGTTAGAGAAATAATGTTAATGTTAATTACAGATTAGCAGTTAAACGAATATGCAAGTAATAAGCTGAGATGTTTGTCCACCCGAACGGGATGTGATTCAGAAATGTCTAGAATAGAAAAAGTTCTTAATATATTACCAGACACACAATAGGTAGCCATTTTTATGTATTTCCGTAAATGGTCGTTTGAGGACACCGAGTGTTGATTGTCGTCGGTAATCACCATACGGTTGGAAATACGAAATGTGGCGATGTATTTGACCAGCTGCATCTTGAACAATTTTCAAGCGTTGAGATTTTGTAACATTAACCATGGATTGTTTGGATAATAAGTTCCAATTCATTCCAGTTGTTGATGATATAAATCCCAAACGATGGAAGGTATCCAAAAACATAATATCATTCCCAACAAAATTAGATATGTCCATTGATGATACGAACTAAAATCAGAAGAGAAACGCGTAAGCTAATGTGCTGTAGTAACGTGTTTAGTTCAAACTCGAAAGTACGACTTATAGAAAAACCTATTATGGAGCAGGAATGTTCTCTTCCATTTCTAGAGATAGCGAATACAATTCACAAATGTCTTATAATCATTAGCAACGCTTTTAGTCCTTAGTTTCTTGATGAAGTTAACATTACATTTAGCTTTATCAGAATACAAACCGTATAAGACCAGAAAGAAGAAAAGTAACTAAATTTTGACGAGCAGTTAAGATTAAAGTAACCGCTCACTTACCCAGTTTTAGTGAGCCAACATTGAGCATTTAAATAATTTACAGTCACCTTGTCCGGTAATTCCTTTGAATAACACTGAATTGTGCTCCGAATAATGTCGTTGATGATATAATGAACAATACACAAAGCAGTATGGCTGTAGAATATGTTCGATCTAAAAAGTGATGAATAATGTAAAAAGAGTTACCATTAGCGCAAACTCAGTACCCAAGTTCTTGCATTTTTCCTAGACACCTATTCTGCTACAGAAATGTCATAGATGCTTGAATTTTTTTAAGTAAATATTACGTGAGCGATACCCAATTAGCTGCACTCAACGCAGAATAGGTACCTAATGTTTTTCCATTCACCGTTTTGGTTCGCTTTCAGACATATATAAAAGAAAAACATATGTGTGCAAGAATGATGTGCGTTTTTATCTTCACATGATCACTTAAAATGGCTGTCCGTTTAGGTTTACTTGCAAGCACCTATGACATTACTGTAGCAGGGTACGTAGTCGGGTACTTATGCTCCAGTACATTCCCTAGTGAATGTACTTGAGACTAAGTACTTGCCTAAGTAATGTCCATAGTACTTGCAATTTTGTCACCAGTCTCACAAAAAAATTTAAGTACTTGTGCAAGTAAATTTAAGTACTTGTCACGTATTTTTGATGCAGTCAAAACTTAGTGGAATTTAGTTATTTTGATTATGGGAGCGACACGCAAACTATGGATATTTCCAATACCAAGTACTTGAGCACGTAATGTCCATAGTACTTGCGATTTTCTGCAAGTATCCAAGTACTTGGGCCGCAAGTACATTCACTAGGGTCTACATACATAAGTATTACAGTTGCAATAATTTCTATCAAGTTTAAAACAATATTTTTTAATATATGATTAATTATTGCACGTTAGATATTTGTATTATACTAATTTTAACGCTGGTATTGAGTAAAAGTTAAATATCAAAAATGTATGATAGCTCTATAATATACATTCCCTAATATAGTTACTCAGTGTTTTTCTTCAAATTAGTTTATCTTTCTTATATACTTCTTTCCGATAACTTAAGATGTAGTATGAATGAGGATAAAATTTGACTATTTATTTATTCTAAGTAGAACGATAATTTGTTAAACCGACACTGATAGAACAAAAGTAAATTTCATTATGTGGATGAAGACGTGGTGAAGATAAGAAATGCAAATGGACTATAGTTTGATAAGTCGCGTACGTTGTAGTAGTACACTAGTGTATTACTAAATAATACTAATTTACACGATGTATGTTCAGAAGATGTGCCCCTGTAAGCCAGATTTTCTTAAAATTTGAATGTGAATGGACAGGTAATATAATTACCACCCTTTAGCTGACAATGAAATTTCAAATCAAGCTGCAGCTTCATCAACTGCCTATGGATTAACTTCATCCTCAGCAGTCACAAAACCTGCTTTAAATACTGTCCTGAATCAAATAATGAATTTTCGTCAGCATTGTGAAAGTGACAACGAAATTCAATTCACGATCAGAATCCGTTTTCACAGCGTAGTACGACGGTCCCTGCTAATATGGAACAAGATTTCCACTTAATTGGTATTCATGTATAGACATAAAGTTCTTGCTATTTTTTTAGCGTCATTTATACTATTTAGATCTACATCGAAAGACAAGTGTAAATGCCCCACAGATGGTGAATCTGTTACAGTAAGAAACCACTTGTTTGAGTAAGAGAATTAAATATATTTTTTCTTTTGGCAAAGTCTACCTGAAAATAACAACGTCGATGCAACTGTGCACCCCCCTCGTCTGTGTCATATGCAATGGCATCCCACTTTTCAAGCTTACGGCTTTTGACTGAAAAGGGCTAATAAAAATATACCTGATTATCACATCATAAGCGATGTTTTTGATAATACACCAGCTCAAGCAGCTGGTCTAAAAGTGAACGACAGAGTTATAGAAGTTAACAATGAAAATGCAACGAAATTGAATCAAGATGAATTAAAACAACGCTGCGTACAAAAAATAGGATTTAATGAGTGTACTTTGCTGGTTTTGGATCCAATTTGCAATAAAAAATTTTCCAAAACTAATGTAACAAGCTCTGATAAAAATGTAATTCATTGGAAATTCATCGCGGAGTACGAGCGATTTCTGATTAGTGTTGTAGGCGATTATCAGGCAGAATTCTTTTGATTAGTGCTTTTTGCGTGTAGAATTAAGCATAGGTAACGTCCACAGTGTAGAAAAAACATCATCAGTGGGTTCATCGAATAATTATCTTGTGTCAGTGTTTCGACCACCTAAACCCATTACACCTAAAGCAATCGACAAACCACTGACGATACATTCACAGCCTGTTCCACCAAACGGAAACTATCGATCCATCTCTTAATTCAGTATTAATCTCAGGTTAGCAACACCTCAAGAAAAAAACCTATATGTTGCTATGCTTTACCTTTTTATGATGGTTCTCATGCAGAAAAAGAGGTTTTTAGTTATGTTAGTGAAGAGGCGATGAGAATCACCAACGAAGAAATGTACAAGGTTTAGACTGATGTTTTTTCAAAATGTTTTCTTCATATAGGCACGGTTCATGATGATTCAAACCAACTAGAAATTAGGGAAGTATGTTATCAAGCAAACGATAGAACGGGGATATTTACTCTACAAGAGAAAGGTTCTACAGTTGATTACATTATTATTAACCAAGAAGCGACTAACATAGGATACTTATTTCTTCATTAGATAGCTCTTCGGGAATTTTACAAAGAATCGATACTAATGTATTTGTGAATGATTTTAATCGCTCAAGCGACCTCATCTCCGGAACTAATGGAAGAGATGCTAGGAGTATGTACATATACTCTTTGTAACTTTTGGAATAACTGCTCTTATTTTGATTTGATTCAGCGATGTTGGACAGACTTCGATTCGATTGCCGGTTACATTTCCGTGGTTTGCAGAATCTCGGCAACACTTGCTATGTGAATTCAGCGATACAGTTCTTAGCTGATACTTTGAGCTTGACAATTTCATATGGAAAACCGAAGTTTTTATCGAAATTCTAAAACTGGGGCAAAAAATCCGAAAAACAACGCGTTCTTACGAACTGAGGATACCGTTTGACACACTAGAGTAAGTGTTGAAAGTTCGTCGGAGAAAATTATCAGACATCAAGCTAAAGACGTTCCAAGCCATTTATTTTTTTCATAAAATCTCGATTTTCAATCTCTAACCTGCTCACCATAATATTTGCATTTCGAAAGACTTCTTTGTTTTCAGAATGAAAGAGTTAAAGGGATGAACATGCAATGGCGCGCTTTCTAAGATATCAACTTAACTATAAGCTCAGTTCCTTACATAAAACTTAGAGGAATGGAACTCCCCTCTCCGCCCACTTCAACCTCTGCCTTTTCTATTAAACATTGTGTACTACACAAGTAGAATTCTCGTCTAAGAGACTAAAATTCTCGTGGAAATTCTCGAAATTCCTGTGGAAAAGTAAAATTCTCGTGAAGAATGTATTAGGGATGTTCCCAGTTCCCCTTACACAAGTAGAATTCTCGTATAAGTGACTGTAATTCTCGTGTAGAAGACTAAAATTCGCTTTGAGTTTGCTGCTCTTGCTTCTTTCAACTAAACTTCTCGTGCGGTAGACTGAAATTCCCGTGAAAGGAAGTGAAATTCTTGTGGAGGGAGGGAAAATTCCGGAATTTCGAGAATTCTTTCTGCTTGTGATTTGTGTACTATATTTGGGTTTTAGTTAAGGGGAAAATTCTTACGATAGCAGCAAAATTCTCGTGGTAAGAGTAAAATTCCGGAATTGATGGTTCTCGGACACTGCTGAAAACTTGACTTCATGTTTTTTTAACTTATAGCTTCCTATTTTATATATTCCTATTTTTGATATATACTTATAGTAATTTCTGTGTGGCAGCTTGTCTGAATGTGGCTGCTGCTACTTGATTGGAGGTCAGTCGCCTTCCTCAATCACAACTATGATGCAAACAGTTAATGTTAAAGCTTATTTTCAGGGTATCAGACTTAACAGGGCTGACATAGGGTAGGGTATAGCAAAATCTATCCTATCTGAGAGGTAGCTAGTGGGTCTGGGCCTGCGCAGTTTTGTAAAAGGGGTATATAATCATGTAACTTTACATTTCGTCTTAATGATATTAATATCTCACCATGTGTTCTTTCCTCACCCATTAGATACACTGCTTGAAAATTCAGTTTTTGAAACTCCGCGTATTCAGAAAGATGCAGTAAAGTGTCCGCTACATGATGGTGAAAATTACGTTTCTCTAACAGTTTTTGTTTTCGAGTAATTAAAAAAAAATCCATAGGTTTTGGTATAAATAGTACCATTTTGTTGCACCAATATTTGTGTAAATTTCCATGCATTGCATACATTGTGTAAATCAATATTGACCCTGGTCGATAAAAGATTGTTTTGATAAACTGGCAACAAACTGGAGAGCTTCACTGTCTCACTTGTGTGCTAATGGTGTCAAGCGTTTTTAATGGCACCACTATTATTAAACCCCATCCAGAATAGAAGACCCCCTATATTCGAAGACCTTCTTCAGGTCAATGTTCCACTAGACATAATAGAAGGCCGAACCAGAGGCCAGTCAAAAAGCTGCGATTCATCAGAACATTTTAGGAAGCCTTTTATCCTAGGATGCCTTGAGATAATCTCAACAGTGCTCAGCGGATCCATATAAGTCGCAGATCTTCACTAGAGTCCTGCGGGCTTAACCCGATCCCGATTCCGAACCCCATCCTGAAACGTTTTTTTCCGGGTTCGGAACGGGATCGAGATAAGAGTGTTTAGAAATTATTAAGAACCTTTTGTTATTTATGTGTCTCTCGTTTTCAAAAACCCAAAAATACATTATCCCACCTAGCTGGTTCTTCATGTCATGACAAAAGAAATTGATGTTTCAAGATCTTTGATGGTAGCTGTAGTACTGGTTCCATTAACGTTTACGGAAAGCTTTCTTGCAACGCATATTCATCCCTGCAATTTATTTCGTTCAATTCCGACTAAATTGTGTTCCACTAGATGCTCCAATACTTTTTTGTTTTTCTTCAAATGTAGTGCATCCAGAAAACAGTCTCCATTTGAGTTTCGTCTACTTAGATTCCAACCACCAACTGAAAGCAAAAATTCGATAATGCGATGAGTACAGCCACGAACATTTAGACAAATATACAGTAATGCATCATTTCCACTTTTATCCAATTGATTAATTAGAAAAGAATGATCGTTCGACAGTTTAAATATTTTTCGTATTAAGGATCGTTCTCTCTTTTGTAAGAGAATAAACAACAAACTTTTTTGGATGAGTAAACTTCGAAACTCTGCATCATTCAACAGTATCTCAAATGATTTTCTTCCTGTTTTATGTCCCGTCGCTCCATTAACAAGTTTCACAATGTCTTCTTCATCCAGTAATTCGAAGAATTCTCGCACATATTGATTGTTCTGGTAAAGGAAAAGAACGACGTCCGTTCGAAATCGCTTAAACAAATTAATTATCGCGCCTTTGAAACTCTCATTATAATACGTATATTCGCAGTGTTCTAACTTATGTGGCGTTTGATATCCATCGAGTACTAGCTTCATAATTTCTCTTTGCGTAGCTAGAACAAAAATTTCTATATCAGAACCATTCTGTTCAGTAGAAGACAACAGTTTAGTCATTGGTAAACTGAGATCCATTATATTCCGTAAACTTTCTTGAAACCAAGAATGATCATCTTTTCTGCTCTTAATGATAAAAGTAAGAAAATCAATAATGGCTGAGTAACAGACATGATTAACAGGCGCCGAAGACTCGCCGTGGTGCCCATAAAAGTAGCGAAGTTGCATCACAGAGTATAATAGAAAGTAAGAAACTCTACAACCACCGTTACCAACATAATCCTTGTTTTGGAGTAGATCTTTATTCGAAATGAGGAGGAGTTTAAAGATTTCAACAACACTTTTGAATCGTCTTGACTCCGTCTGTTTAAGTTTTGTTGGACTGGCAATAGCGAATAATAAAAATGTATTTACAGCTTTGGCAAAGTTAAATCTGGCCAATTCATAATCGTCACATTTAAGTCTTGCACCTTTAGCCATTATAAGTGAGCTGATGAGTGAACGCGTTTGTTCAATATGAGCCGCATTCATCGAATTATGTTCCAAGTTCCTGAATACGTCATATAATTCATTGTCAACCGCAACAGCCTCACCATTTATAAGTTGTTCACGAATTAATTCATTGTGCTCGGTTTGCGATTTTATTTCTTGTTCCAAGCTCGTATATCCGTCTCTCATTTGGAGTAATACTAGTGACTGAAGAGATGACCGAATTTGTTCTTCTATTTGACATCGATTGTTGTCACTCTGGGATACTTTTTGAAATATACACCTACAATAATAGTCAAACTTTCTATCATCTTCTGCGATAATTAATAGGTCGGCAAGTAGATGTAAACGTTTGTCTATGAGAATATTATTCAGTCGTTGATTTAGTCCAAGAAATGCTTTGAGTACATTATAAACATCTCCACTATATCCAATAATAAGCATTAATATTTCATCGGGCAGTGCTTCTAAGGTCAACATTTTGTTTCACAGCGCACTATACAATTTTTGAGTAAGAATATCATTAAAAGTACTACTGGTTACACACTTATACTTGTCAGTATCACCTGTTTTTCTTCTATCCTTTTCTGTTTGATCTTTTCGCGCATTACATACGTCATTGAAGACGAAATACAAGTAAGTATTTCATAATCAGAACGCAACCCTATGTAAAGCATTTATCTCGAAGAAAAAAACACGAGAAAAGCGTATAAGACACCATATTTTTCTGTTGATCGTAAAATGTCAATTTCTTATGAAATCAGAAAGATAAAGATTAGTGAGAATCCTACTGTATCAGGAATCATACGCGTAAACATTATACTTGTTCAGATCTGTATATGAACCAGTATAAGATTGTCTGAGACAAACTTATGCAGATCCATTATCTGTCCGGCATTTACTCGGAGGAACACACTGAAAATTAGGCACTTTTCAGGTGCCATCTGGCTTCTAATGAGATGACCTTAACTTCTCAGTTTTTATGGATTGAGCAGTAGAATCTTTTTTGACTGAGACATCGAAAACAAGTTTGATACTGATACTTTAAACATCTTTGTTGAAACAATGTGTGTTGCCGTCATCGTCAGTCGCTCCTGTTGAGGTACTTTCGTCATCTTCGCCATTGCTCTCTTCTTCTGCCAGAACAACATCAGCAAACTTTGTCAATTCAAAGTGCTCCCAAATGTAATCACGATTCTTCTAAGTTTTGGTGAATCACTGTTGTTATTTCTTGCACTGCTGAAGTCTTCTTCGAAGTCACTCATTTTTGACCTTCCAAACTTTTTACAACACTCGATTAAACGCCTTATACCGGCAAAATAAGCTTGACTTCTTTTTTTCTTTCTTGTATAAGGCACATGTTATACAGTCTTCGTTTGTGTACATCTTCTTTTCTCTCTTGGCATGCTTTATTATACGCGTTGTGCAAAAAAAAAAGGATGTTCGGCTTTATATTTCTTACTCTGTATCATATAATAAGAAAACGATTTTTTATAAATCTCAACCCGATTTATAAATCAACTCAACTTTTGTTAAAAGCTGTCAACTTTTAACTTGTCAAAATTAGTTTTAAACTCTTCGGTGCATTCGACAGAGCATAAAACTTTTCGTGACATTTTCACGGTTATAACTTACAAGAACTTCATATGTCCTAGGTTGAGGACAAATGGAAACACCAGAAAACGAAACTTTTGTGATTGTTACAAGTCTTTTCGATAGGTGAGAATTTTTGTTCTTATATTCTTACTGCTTTTCAGTTATTGCATCTGAAGTTTTGTTACTAAAATAAGATACTTCAAAAGATAACCATTTATTCTTAGCTTTTTCCCCTCTTTCAATTGATATGAAAGTAATTTTTAAAACAAACACAGATTCGATCGACGATCATATTTTACACAGAAAATTCTTGTTCTGTTTCTTTAATTTTCTGTTTCGCGAATAAAACGTTTCCAAAAGCAAAAATCAGATTTACAGTTATCTAGGTCAAAGAATCTTGCTGTAAGGTCTTATAAGATTCTTGTATAATTCCGTCTGATTTCGTAAGATTCGTGTAAGAATTTGTAAGATTCTGTAAGAAACATGCAAACCGATTCTTGATGTACGATCTTATAGTAAGATTTCATCAGATTTCGTAAGATTCTTGTACGATGTTTATAAGATTTTATAAGATGAACCCGTTTCTATGACTTTCCGTAAGATTTTATAAGATCTAAAAGATCTTGATCTGATTTTTTGACCTGGGTAACTTTGCATGGTAAATCGCATAAGAGATGAAAGAAAATAACATTTCGACCAAAAATTGCACTTAGTAGTTGATGCTGCGAATTCTTTCTTAAAAGTAGTGTCAAAAACATTATTGGTATCCTGTTTTGTTTTAACTGTCCTTTCCTCTATCCTCTCAGACAACACACGTTCTAACTGATTGATCGCCAAAATAAAACTTTTTAAGTTTCTACAAATAGTCAAAAATGCTATGCGAACATAAAGAAATCTACTACTAACTTCTGCTTAGTCACTACGTGAACGACACTTATAGAGCTTCTTTTTCAAAGGAATGCTAGACGGAGGTATAATCTACTATAATGGGGGGATAGATCGATTATAAACTTGTCCTATGTCCAACAAAAACGCTAATGAGGGAACTTTCGCAGGTGTTTGGCCAAAACACAGCCGATTGGCTGGAATCAAGGGTGCTGAGTACTGATATGATCGTCATTTATGTCGAAGGTCCTTTAATACTTCGTCATTTTCTGCGTCTTTCAATTACCAGTCGAAATTAAACAAATTCACAACTAGGGCAAATCAAAATGACAGCCATGAAAATTCATGGGCACATAGAGTTCGAGATAATGACAGCTTCAAACCGCTTCCTGAAATGCAAAAATCCGCTGTTTTCTGAAAATCTTGGTTTCAAGAAACTTCCTATGAGCACAAATGCCATCACCAGTATATGCAATTATCAATAACATAGCATTGTCCTGCCTGCATTTTTCTTTTTCTCTACGTTCACAGTGTATGTCTTCCCAAACCACAAAACAGCCCCTAAATTTACAAAAACTTTTACATAAAACACATACAGAGTGACAGTCTGTCGTTACACACAAATTATATTCTCATCATAAATGGTTCTCCAAACCGTCGTAAAAACTGTTTCTGTAAAATGTTCATTTGTTGCTTAAGAAGTATTGCTGTTTTTTGTCGTTATTGTTCGTATTAGTATTTCATTAGTCATTTGCTTTTGTCCTCTCGTTGTTCTCGACCGAAATTTCAATTGTTGTCCACTATTATTTGAATATTTTTGCAAATGCGGACTAATTAGCAGATAGAATGCTTTTCGAAATGCATTCGATGTACACCAGTAGACATAAAACGTTGAGCAACTATTGATGTATATTAGAAATGAATAAGCG